AGTACAATAAATGAAAAATGGGAGGAAAAGAAACAAAATAATTTTAGTGGTCAATTCTTATGGGATAAGTGACTGACCGAAGAATTAACTTGAATATTTTTATGCTCATAGCCTTTAATTATAGAATAATAAAAATTATAATTTGAAAAACATTTTCTATTAAAATAAATAAGTAAAAAATTAATTATTATTTTCATCCAAACAAACTAAGATAGTAATTAAATTGATTTTCGAATAGAACTTAAAAAAATATCTAGAAAAAGCGAAGAAAGAGAGAGAGTAGGAAACAGAAACAAAAGGCAAAGAATAACAATAAAGCATGAGTCCCACAAATAAAAATATAATAGCAATAAAATAACCCCTTATACAACTATACTAGTTATACCTCATACATTTATAAAAAATTTCAAATGCAATCGAAGTTGAATTAAATATGTTTTGTAGAAATTAATATTCTTCATTTGACGAGCCAAAAAATGGTTGGCAAACGAGTGCCATAGCATGTTTCCTTTCAATATTACTCATATAATCAGATGAGATCTTTTGGGATATAATTGAAAATAAAACACGAGGATTGAGCAAATGAAAAATAAGTTAAAGTCAACTAAAAATAAAAGGACTAATTTGTAATTAATTTGATATTTTGATTTGATGAAAAAAGTAACAAAAATGATCCCCCCATGTTTGAGAGTATATTCAAAATGACCTTTTAAGTATGAATTTTGATTCATTAAGTTTGTCAAAGGTTAATATTATTGGTCTTTGTCAAATATATATCGAGTCGAAACTCACATTTAGATATACAATTTTTTTACTTTTTGTTGCTTTTATTTATTTATAGAGTACTGTGCAGTTTTTTGAGGTGTAATTTTCATTATTTTTTTATGTTTAGTACAAGTTTTTTGTGTTGCATATTTTATAATTTGAAGAGACTTTCTTGATATTTATAATTAACTTTATTTTTACTGTTTCCGTTAAATCTAACAAACAATATCAAATTATTAAATATTTTAAAAGGACAAAATGTTAACCTTTTTCTTCTCCGTTACTTTTTATATGATTTCTTCACAACTATATTTCATTTTCTTACCGATTTTGATTATTTTATTTGCATCGAAAGTCTATTAGAAACAACCTCCCTATGCTCATAAGGCAAGTATAAAGCTTACACATTTTTGTTTTCAAATCTCACTTGTGAAATTACATGCAACAAAATTAAAGGATCGAAATTGTTCAATGCTTACTTAAAGGGACTATTTTGAGCCTAACCTTAAACATAAGGGTCCAAGTTTGATATTCTCCCTTTTTCCAGCATCTATAAATCCCCGCCATTTTTAGTCTCCAAAATTCACAAACCCTTTCCATAAGAATAGGAAACAAAGAAAAAAATTAATCAAAAACTATAGCATAAAGTAAAAATGGGGATCGATCATCTTGTTAAATTAGCAAAACGCAGCATAATTCAACAATCAAAGCATCGTTTAATCTTCAATAATTCAATTTCTGAGTCCAATTTTGTTTCCCATTATCAACAATGCAGAGTTTACTCTGCTCCATCTATGAATACTTCAGCAACTAAAATCTCTAAAACTCATTTCTTTTCCTTTCCGTTTTCTATTCGGAAATCAACTCCATCGTCAGCTTCTGCGAAAACACGTATTGGATTCTTGGCGTGGTATTTGGGAGCTCTTGAGTCTCGTCCGATTATCACGAAATCTATTTCTTCTGCTGTTATATTTGCTGCTGCTGATGTTACTTCTCAGGTATTCTCTCGTTTTGCTTAATTATGTGATTTTATTGCTTTGTGTTAGAATGAAATTGGTATAGATTTTAGGATAGTGATATCATGTGTGAGTAACTCGGATTTGGACTAAAGTTATTGGATTTAATCGAAATTCGAATGCATGAGTAACTTTCTAGCTTCACCTCTGGTCCAAATAGATGGAACTGATATAGATGAATAGATGATCCATATATCCAACAGCTTTGTTTAGCTGTTTGGATGGTTGTTATTATTTGTTGGGAATAACAGTAGAAACGGATAATCGGGTAAACTTTCGGCTAATTCAATAAGTTGAAGGATTTTTTGGTAGAGAAGTTACTAAGAGGCTGTTTGGATTGATTTTTTTTAAAAAAAAGCTTTTAAATAATAATAAAATAAAGTAAAAAGTCAAACTTCAAATGACTTTTAAATCAAAAAAATAAAAAGTAAGGGGATACATATTTTTTATTTTTAGTAACATTTTTAAAGTCATTTTAAACTTACTAGTAACTGGGCACGTGTACTCTATAACGATAAATATGAATTATTAAAAATTGCATAATTTGTTTTAAAATTGTATTTGAGTTACAACAAAAATATGAAAAGTAAAATAATAAATGTTTATAGTGTATAGTTAACTCATAAGAAGAAACTCTTTTGAATTTAGTCCTCCTCTTATTATGATTTCGATATATAAATTTTATATTTGTTTTAAAAGACAAAATAAAGTAGCAAACAAACATAGAGGCACACTACCTTATGATTAACTTCCTTAAAATGTCTCTCTTGTCTCATAGAATAGAGTAAAAATGTTTAAATTAAATTAATAGTTACACATTTCATGACAATAAAATGCTTTAACATTAATTAGTAGAAGATGAAATTCTCCTTCTCATTAAGTAGAATGCAATTAAGTAATTCAAATTTATAACTAAGGAAACTTAATTAGAAGAAAATAACTAAAGAATTAAAGTGCAACCGTTAGTATTTAAATTTTGTCATTATATACTTAAAATATTAATATTTAATTAAGTAAGTCAGAGTTTAATTTAGTTGAGAGCCAAAATGACAATATTAGTATTTTTACAATTAAAAGTTTGTTAAAATATATTTTACATTTTTTTGTTAAAAATATAATAGGAGCAATATTTGGTCGGAGGTTAAAAGATCTTCTAACTTCATAAAGCATTTTGGTGTAGCATTTTTTTTTACTTTGGAATTTGGATCTCATAATAATTTTAATAAAAATTGTCTTAAAAAATATAGATTTTATCCACAAGTACATATAAGAATAATTCTTTACAAATATTTAAAATTAAAGGTGGAAAAAATGTATTATTAATAATTTGAAATTAGAATATCTTGTAGGCGTTAATTGTCTGATTTTACATGCCTTATAGACTATTATGATGATCCTATTTGTTTTATTTTCTATAGGAAAAATACACACTTCAATCATACACATTCTTAAAATGAAATTACAAATACAAAGAAAAAAATATCACAGGAGCAAGCTTAGCATAAGGCTACCAACGAAAATAGAAAAATTCTAAGACAATCTCTTTTTATTGATAATGCAAATTGAAACAAAGCTCTAGTAATAAACATTTAACCTTTGACCATAAAAAAAGAGTTCAAAATCTTGGAAGACAAGTTAACGGAAGTGACATTCAACTACATAAATGGAAGGGTCTTATCATAGTTCTAATATCGGCAAATAAGTAAAAAAACAAATACATCAAGCTCCGATATTCTAGTAATTGAAGTGTTATTAATCCCTATAATCACATTATGCCTTATAATTTTGACACAAATTCTCTTGTCTTGAAATTTTCTTCACTTGATTAAAGCTTCTCTAGTCTTCCACACACAAAAGTTGTATCACATATAAATCTTTCTATGGAAATACTATTGAAAGATTTGTATTTATAGGAAAAAATATAGTTTTGGAATACGAAGATTCACTTACAAAGTTGAAAGGTCAAGAGTTACAACAAATTAAAGACAAATATTAATTAAGAACATAAATTAATTTGGAAGATGAAACACGTATGTATCGATTTAATTTACATACTTCAAATACAACTCTTTGACTTTTCTGAGGCATGACATACTAATTACTTAAGTGAACTTGATTCGGATTTCAAACGATACACGTTTTCATGAGGTCAAATACTACTATATTAAGTTATTTATATTAACTAAGAGAAGTGGAAAAAGCTTGGTTGATTTTCTTTCAGAATAAATGTAATACTTTCTTATGATTATTTTTATTTTTTAAGTTTTGACTTAATATCTTCTCACTTTTAAAATTTATGATAATAATAATAATATAATATAAAATAATTAATAAAAGGAGATAAGCTGAAAAGTAAAAAGGTTACCATTACTAAATAGAATAAGATAAAATCTATGAAGAAGATAAAAAGACTACATGTATAAGAAGATTAAAAATTCTTTCAATTAAATAGTAGACTAACATTAAAACATACAAATTATTATATTTAATAGGAGGAATTTACTTTATATAAATGATTCTTATTTTTTATTTAATCAAGTATATATTTTATTATATTTTAATTTGGTGTAGGGGTAAAATGGTATTTCAACTTTTAACTTTGTGGCTTCCCACTTTTAGTATGATATGATGTTAAATTATTTTTAACTTTATCAAACAATTATAAAAGCTAAAATGATTTAAAAATAGATTTGACCAACTTTTAAGTCAATTCAAACAAGCTCTTAGTTTGACCGAAGCGGTGAGTAACCTTCTAACTCGTCCTTGGTCCAAATATAGTGGAATTGACATAGATGAATAGATGATCCCGTGTTTTACTAATAGGACTCAAAAATATGAAGAATTAACTATACAAAGAAGCCAAAGGGTTAACATCAACAATATATGCACCAAACATAATTTTAACCTTATATATTTATAATCTAATTTTCTGCCGAAAGGGATACCCTATCATAGATGTATGATGCATTTAGTACTCCTTGAATTTGATGTGTTCAATATTTATGTTATCATAATTGAAGCCTTTGTGCTTTTGCATTTATGTGTTTAGAACTTGATAATTTGTTGAAATTTTAGTGATTTTCACATATATATTTATGCTAGTTGTAAAGAATATTGGGTTTAGTTAACCCTGTGAATCTACTCTACTCTGTGTCCGTCTCTGTTAACGTGACCCTAACTAGTTCGGAATTGTGACTTAGTTGTAGTTGTTAGTTTTGATTTTACTGCTTCAATTTGATCAGATATTTGAAAATTTGAATAACGTTTGGATTATTTTTTTGATGGTATAATGATGTTGTTTGTATTGGTCAGATGATTACGATGACACCTTCAGATTCTCTAGATATAATAAGGACTCTGCGAATGGCTGGGTATGCATTGATTATCTTAGGAACAGCACAACATCAGTGGTTTAACTTTATGGGGAGAGTATTACCAAAGAGAGATGTTGTTTCTACCTTGAAGAAATTGTTGCTAGGGAATTTCGTTTATGGGCCTGTCATTAATTCTGCTTTCTTCTCTTTCAATGCAGCTCTACAAGGTATATGCATTCATTTTAGCTGTTGCTCAATTATGTTACTACTTTTCTTGATTAGTAGATGTATCATCACCACACAATATGCATTTGATCAAAGCTAATTTACTTCTCTAGAAATCTCTAATAGCGGAAATGTACATGGCTATTACTTTCTGGTAATATTATACTTGGATGCATATGAATATCAAAAACACCCTCTCTATCTTCACAAAGTAGGGGTAAGGCTGATTCCACTTGTGGGATTACACTGGGTATGTTGTTGTTGTTGTAGTATAGCTATTACATTAATCATGGAACTTTATGCACTGATACTGTGAGAAATGTTCCCATGAATATATTTATGGTTACTACATTAACATTAAGCATGGAATATTATGCACTGATATGGAGAGTAACATGTGAGAATTCGTTCTTAGAGGCTAACCAGATAGCAGAAAACAACCTAATGCATGTTTAGTTTATAGTTACGACTTAAAAGAGCATTGGAAAATTTAGAAAATTCTGAAACAATGAGTTGAGGTGAAATAAGATAATTTAAGATGCAAAGTAATTTTCAAAGTAAAATGAGTTGATTCTCATAATAAAGTGAATGCATCCAAGTAAAATGGCTGGAGGATATTCAATCGTCGTCTATTCGAAATTGCTGAACTAGTTTTTCTAGCATTAGATTTAACTTTTAGGAGAACCATTAAAAGATACATTACTCTGTCTAGAAGTTTTATCATCCCTGAGGTTTTAATGTGTTGGATATGTCCCAAAATTATGTTGGCACTGTGGTTTTAATTCTTTGCCCTAGATAACTCAAGTACGAGCTAAACATACAGAATTTTCAAAATGAAAAGAGCTTTTTTGATTAAGTACCACAATCAAAAAGATCTTAATTACATGCCATATTTTCCGATGAAAAGATTATAATTGGTGGAAGTTAATGAATGACAGTCCGTAATTTCTTCTTGGTTGAGCATCTGAAGAAAACATGAAGGGACCTAAAAGGCAGAAAGTTCTTCAAGCTTGTAAACATAACAATGTTGAGTGCGTGAACAAAGTCTCATATTAGTGCTAAAAAGATTGGGAAGCTACATATAATGTGTAATCATCAGAAATTAAACACATAATAGCCACCCTTATCGAGTATTTTTTATTATTAATAAAGTTGAAACAAGCAATAGCCTATGTCGAAACCTTTTCAACAGAGGGAAAGGTCATTTCTGTTAGAATCTAATGTTCCTTGGTTATACAATGATCATCGACATTGGATCAGTTAGGTGTGATGCCCTCAGAGTAGCTTTTAGGAGTTCTGCATTATTTGTTATACGATCATTTGTTGGCTGAACTGATTCTTATGTTGCCCTTGCTTTTGGACTTGCCATTTTATTTCTCTCAACATGTTCTAATTCGTTTAGTCTATTTTTTTGTGATGTTCAGGTGAAAATGGAGAGGAAATTGCTGCAAGATTGAAACGAGACCTGATCCCGACAATGACTAATGGACTTATGTACTGGCCATTGTGTGATTTCTTGACATATAAAGTAGTCCCTGTCCATTTGCAGGTATTCACATTCCTAGTCTTTGTTTCAATAGAGTTTGTGTAATATCTATAGTGAGATAGTCCAAAACTTCTGGGCTCTGACTATTAGCCTTTCTGAAAGACATAATACATAAACAAACACACAGTTTTGGCCTCAACTGGTAAATAAGCACTCCAACTCACCTTGATGTTGTCTCATGGACACCCAAACTTGTCGTGACACATAAATTTTGAAAGTGTTTAGATGATCATTTTGTAAGTTGGAATGTTCAACGGACATAGTGAAAACGAGTTAAAAGTGCTTACTTGCCAACTGAGATCAAGTTTGAGTATCTGTTTATGTGTTATGTCTTTCTGAAAAGCTTATTTTTGCCCTGTTTCACTAATTTCAAATTGAGTTAAATGCTCAGTTCAATTCCTTCTATCACTCTGATCACTAAGAATCTGTTAATGTCTCTTTTGCAGCCATTGGTTAATAGTTCATTTTCATATGCATGGACTATATATTTGACATACGTTGCAAATTTGAAGAAAGTTTCTGATTAATTTTCACGCCGCGCTATGGCCTATGGATGTATCAATATTCTCTCTAAAGATTGAACCAAAAGAAAGTTAAATCAGTCAGTTGAGTGATCAACAATGTCCTACTGCAGTCTATACTTCTCTTACTCCTTGATGATTATGTGGAAAAAAATTAGTTATATAAAAAAAAAAAAAAATTGAGAATCACATTGATATTTATTTGTTAATTTTGTGTATTGGTGAATGAAAGTTATATACATAGCCTCAGCCTTTTTGTATTGTTGATCATATTATTGAACAAAAATGGTGATGTTCATCTTTCATAAGTCCAGAATTTCCATTTTTCAAAGTATCATGATCGTCCAATGAGAAACTAATAAAGCAATTTAATACGAATATGGATATTCATTTTTTGCAAGAAGAAGCACCAACTCAACATACAGGATGAAAATTGAAAATATTAAAATACTTAAATTGATCAATCGGATATCAAATTTTAAAATTGAAATGAATATAATTGTAATTTCTTTAATTCAACTTGAAATTTTCGTAAATTTTAAATTCTGACTTGACCGCAGCCTCATTGAAACCACCTGGCAAATCATACAAACACGTTGGCCGGTCAATACAATGAGCAGAGTATGGTCCCACGTGGTAAAATAAAGTATTTAGAAGATGGCATTGCCGCATTCTTTATGTCTCAATCACCGGACAACAATTATTGGTTCGATTTGTTTTAATTCATGTGATACTGTTCGATTTTTAAGAAATAAATAATTTTAGAAAAAAATGATTCTAGAAATATCGTAGAAGTGTAGAGTATTCTCCTTCCATTTTTTTCCCTAACTATTCTCGTTTATGATTAACCATCAAATGGAGGACAAAAGAAAACCTTAAATAAGCAACAAATTATTTTTATTTAATTTTCTACAATAAATATCCCTTTCCATATCTCTCTTCTTGAGAGAATAGAGAGAGAAGAGAGAGTATTTCTTTAACTCTCTTTTTTCAGGTTGCACATACACAAATTAGGGAAAAGGAAATTATTTTTTGGTTAAATTGTTGATGGAGTTGTGGGAGAAGATGATGGATCCTATGCGCAAAGCTTGGAGTAGAGTTTCTACACGTATTCATAATCGTAAAACTGGTTAGTTACGTTCTTACATTAATTCATTTCCTGATCACCTGATATCGACTTTATCAATTATGTGAGGCTCTCTTCCAACATCATCTACCCAATATGATATTTTGCTATCATATTTTTCTTGCAAACCCCTCCAGCCCTCCCCCCTTCGAACAACTTCTTTAGTGAGTTGAGGGTCTATCGAAACAGACTCTCTACCCCTCAAAGATAGAAGTAAAATTTGCATACATGCATGTTACCTTTTCTAAACCCACTCATAAAATTATTATAGATAATTACTTATAGTTTTCTTTTACGTGACTGATTAATATAATATAAATTTATTTAAGTAATATTAGTACATAGAAATTAAACTCGTGATGTAAACGTCTTGAATAATCGCTTTTGAAACTTTTATTTTTTAGGACATGTAAAGCTACACCATGATGTGAGGAAATGTGAAGATGAAGATGTTCAAATTTTGTGGGATATGCTGAAAAAGAACGAAAAAGGATCAGATGTTTCTAAATCTCCTTCTGGACGCAAAAAAGTTCGATTTTGGGATATTATTAATTGGGCAAAACGTGCTCCCGTCATTTGTCGTAGCGTGTGATCGATCAATATGTTTTTATTGTATTTTTCTAGCTTGCATATTTCAAATATTTGCGTGCTTTTTGCAAAACAAATGATCGTGAACTTTTTCATACTCTTGGTTTCACTTATTTGGAACGAGACTATTGATCATGTAGATTTATAGAGTTGGTTCTAGTGGAGTACGTATAATTTCTTGGAGATGGATGTGTTGTTTTTCTTAGATATTTTTCTGAACTGAGTAGTAATACCTATATTTGTATATAATAAATTTATAGATGAATTATTCTATCTTCGAGGTGTTGTTTCTTACATTCTTTTAAATGTTTTTGGAAGTGAATAACTTGTCTTTAGTTAAAAAACAATGTATGTAGTGATACGTCTATTTATTATATATAATATAATACATTCATAGATGAATCATTCTATCTTCGAGGTATTGTTACGTACGTGATCTTTCTTATTTTGAATTTACTGGACAGTGCAAAACTTGTCTTTGGTAAAAAATAATTACATTTTTCAAACTCTCAGCCAAAAGCACTTTTAAAACGGGGGGATTTTTCAGCTTTCTCAAAGACTTGTACACACATCAAAGGGATCACAAAAATTTTAACTCTCTTAGGGTGTGTTTGGTATGAAGGAAAACATTTTCCGGAAAATGTTTTTCAATTTTCTCATGTTTGGTTGGGTTAAATGTTTTGGAAAATATTTTCCAAATCAACTCATTTTTCTCAAATTTAAGGAAAATGACTTCCCTTCAAAACTTAAAGAAAACATTTTTCAAAACTCTCTTCCAACTTCAAATTACAATTTTATTTTTGTTGAAAAAATCAATTTATTTTCCTACCCGCAAACCAACCCCCCAACCACCACCACCTCCCAAAAAAAAATATAATAATTTTAAAGCTAGTTTTTAAAAAATGTTGTTAACTTCAATTTTTTTTACCTCACCTTCACCCCTACCACTGCCCCCTACCACCATCCCCCCCCCCTCCACAAAAAAAAATAGTAAAAGTTATTTTTAAATATATTTCTAATTTCAATTGTTTTTATTTTTTACCCCCTCCTCCCACCCCATACCCTCCCCATCAGCCCCCACCCCTTCAAAAAAAATTTAAGTTTGTTTTTAAAAAATATTTTCAACTTCAAAAATTCATTTCTTCACCCCTACCCTCACCCCCCACCCAAAAAAAAAATTTAAGTTTGTTTTTAAAAAATATTTTCAACTTCAAAAATTCATTTCTTCACCCCTACCCTCGACCCCCCACCCAAAAAAAAAATTTAAGTTTGTTTTTAAAAAATATTTTCAACTTCAAAAATTCATTTCTTCACCCCTACCCTCACCCCCCACCCAAAAAAAAAATTTAAGTTTGTTTTTAAAAAATATTTTCAACTTCAAAAATTCATTTCTTCACCCCTACCCTCACCCCCCACCCAAAAAAAAAATTTAAGTTTGTTTTTAAAAAATATTTCAACTTCCCTCGCCCCCCCTACCAGCCCCCACCCCCAAAAAAAAATTTAAGTTTGTTTTTAAAAAAAAAATTTAATTTCAAAAATTATTTTCTACTCTAGTAAAAATAAAAGATATTTCTCAAAAACATTTTCCATTCATAAATCAAAAACTAAAAATCTTTTTCGAAAAAATATTTTCCACTCACCAACCTAACATGAGAAAATAAGTAAAAAATCTACTTGTTTTCCAAGAAAACATTTTCCTTCCTACCAAACACACCCTTAAAGTTTTTCATTCTCAGAGCATTCAAATTTGTTTGGTTCGAGATTTGTTCCTGAGGGAGTAGATGTTAGAGTTTGTATTATAGGTGATCTCTATGTATTGTAGTTGTAATAAGATTGTAATTATGATTATTCTATATTATAAATATATATGTCATGCGGGTGAGCAAACACATACTTTTTACATATCAATTTCTGTCTTTCATCTTGGTATCAAGAGCCATATACGATTCTTCCTCTCTCTTTTTTCAATGGCCCCAGAAACATCCTCCTCCTCTTCTACTCAACAAACCTTGAATCAATCTTCCCTTGGTCTTCCCGTTCCCCCTCCAACAATTTCTAATATCAAAGGTTTTGTCCCTATTTAATTGACATATGTCAATTACCTTATTTGGAAGAAGGTTTTTGTCACAGTTCTGAAAAGTTATAATATGTTGTCCGTTGTAGAGGGAAAAATATTGTGTCCTTCACCAAATCATGAAGAATATAAATTATGGATTCAGTGTGATACTATTGCATTGAGTTGGATTAATTCAACACTTTCGACGACAGTTCTTGATACACTTTTGAACTATTCATGTGAGACATCTAAAGAAGCTTGGAACACTTTAGTCTCACTGTATTTGGATCAAGTTTCTTCCTCCTCCATTCATCTTAAGTCGAAATTTCAAATTTCAAGAAAGGTTCTCCTTCTATGGAGGATTATCTTCAACAATTTCACTCGATTGCCTGCTCTCTAAGGGCAATTGGCAAGCCTTTGACGGATGATGATTTAGTCACTCAGGCTTTGCAAAGTCTAACTTCATCTTATCGTACTTTTGTGTTTGAATTAAATGTCACTGGCTCGCTTCCTACTTTTATTGTGTTACGACCACTCCTCCTAACAGAAGAAGCCCACATTAGTACAATTTCTTCAGAAGAATCAAATCCTAATTCTACCTTGTTTGTGACAACTCATGGGAAAACCAATTCTGCTGCATCATCCCCTCAAGGACATTAACTTGCGAAAGGACACTCAAATGGACGAGGTCGTGGCAGGAATAACAAAGGACAATATGGTAGGGGTCGAGGATCCAATAATTCTTCATGGTCAAATTTTCAAAATAATATTCGACATCCTTTACCCGCTAATGGTATTTTGGGATGACCACCATTTACTCCGGCTAAACAGTGTCAAATATGTTTTCACTACAACCACACTGCCTTGGAGTGTAGAAACAAGTTAAATCACTATTTTGTAGCTAACAATATTCCTCAATCATTTGTTGCTATGAAGTTGGAGGAGGTTCACCCAACAGTTTGGTATCCGGACTCTGGAGCATCGGCGCATATGACAAATAACCCTTCTACTCTTACTTCTCAAGCTCCATACTCTGGTTCTTCTCAGGTCATGGTTGGTGATGGTACTCTTCTCTCCATTAACTCTACTGGTTCTTCTATTCTTCCTACAACCTCGAAACCTCTTGTCCTAAAGAACGTTTTATATGTTCCTTCCCTTGTTAAAAAGTTTACTTTCTATTCAACGTTTATGTGCCGATAATAATTGCTTCATTCAATTTACTGATTCTGAATTTTTTGTTAAGG